TAACAGATATTATAATATGTCAAATTGATTAGATATTCTGTATTATTTTTCACTGCCACATACTATAAATTGCAAATAGTAAAAGTAGAGTGCAAATAAATTGTAATTTGCATCTTTTATTACAAATATGTAATGATACATTATGCAACATGTTTATCAGTAATTTCATAGTTGATTAGCCATTAGTTATCCTCACTGTAATAAGGTTCACATACTAACTTCATTAAGTACATCAGCATATTAGTCCATTCTTTTTTTTTATTTAAAAATAACTTTGTTATGAAACACACACACATACAGAAATTCAAACCATTCAAAGAAGAACAAAGCACGGGAAAGAAAACTACAATAATATTCAAATACAGTAGAACTCAACCAAAACAAAACTGAAAAGCACTTAAACATTTTTCCATATAACTGAAAAAAAACCATCTCAAGTACCAACAAGACACCAGAGGATGTGATTTGTTTCAGAAAGATCCCCAAAACCAACATTGAACAAATAGTAGTCTGGAAAAAAAAGCTCCAGTTAGCTAGCATACTCCACATAAGCCAAACTTCTCCCTAATTTAAATTTCGATACAGTCATATTACACGCAATGGGCACACAATCTGAGAAATATGTTATTAGGCCATTTCATCCGTGTGCATCCTTAATTACACTTTCAGTTTCTCACACCAGAGAAAATATTTGGTATTTACACTTGTGTCCTATTTATTTCACTCAAGAGGATGGCTTCAATATGCATCCATTTAGCTATAAATGCCTCTAGTTTCTCATTCTTTATGACTGAGTAGTACTTCTTTTTATAAAAATCCTGAGATTTGATAACTATTTTGACAGTATTTATGTTTTGAAAGACATTTTTTCTATTTTTTGCAATATACAAAATTTGCTTATGCATCTAAATGGGAAACATAGTTTTAAGAATCCATAAGAATTAGTGGACTCTAGTTAATTTTTATTTTATTTTGTAAATATGTCATATATATATATCATTAAACAAGTAAGTACAACAAGTATAATTAATGCATGAATTATTTTTTGTAAGCCATTTAGTTCCTAAACTCCTAGTGTCATAACATGTTTGGATTCAATATTTGATATTCAATTTCCCATGGCAAATAATGACTTATTCTATAGAACAGTAAGGTTTTTAAAAAATTATTCTAACCTCTGTTCATCGTTTGAAATATGCATAAAGAGACAAAAGTATGTTTTAAGGCACTTTCAAGATTCTTTTAACTTGTACACTAGCTAGAATAAAATTCAACCTCACAGAATAAATTTCTATGCAGTATTTATCAGCCCTGAAATAGTTTTCATGACCAATAGTTTACTTAGTTCTTCTGTCTCCTCCCCACCATCTTTTGAAGTAAATCTGCACGGGACATTTACATACAGAAGAAAAATACCTATATTAGAAATTAGTATTCATGCATTAGATAGCATGGGTTCTAGATAATTATATAGTTAATAATTATATGTTTGTGAATGACTAGTCATTAATTTTGTTTAAAAATTGATTTTTATTTTTATCACACCTATTTCTCCTTTCCTTTCAGGAGCTGGAATTTTCAAATTTATTTGCTGTTCTTCACTGCATTCATTCATTCTTCGCTGCCAAAGTGGCCTGTTTGGACCCTCTCTTCTTAGGCAATCAGGCCACTGCTTCTGCTGCAGCCAGCTCTGCTACCACAAGCAAAGCAAAGTATACGACTTGATATCCTGAGTTCTTTAGTGACACTTAACCATGACAAGATAAACAGAATAAACATATTAGTTCTCTTACACCCTGAGAAGCCACAATAATAAGTCACCAGTGGAGTTGGATTGAAATTTCAGCAGAAAAATATCACGAGGCATCTTAGACACATTTCCAATGCAGAAAGCATCTGTAAATTATTCTGAGTGGGTAGACGACCCTGTTCTCATCTGGTTGATTAGTACGTATACACTGCTTTCACCAAACGTGGAGACAAAAGAATGAATGAGATGAAGAATTGTGTAAATAATATAAAAATTGTAAGCTACCTATAAATAAAAATGCCAATCAAATGGTTATTTCTGTATTTTAGATTATTTTGTATGACAGATACATATTGGGCCAGGACATGAACTAATGCCCTATCATTGATTGTATCACCAGTGTAAAGAGAGAAGAAGAAAAAATGACAGCAAGGAGCATGCAAAAAAAACTTCATCAAAAAGGAAACACTTTAATTTGCTGATGTAAAATTTTCCTTGTATTCTCATTCCACTGTTCTGCACCTGCTTTCTAATGTTGCCTATCTGATTGTAAAATATTCTTAGGAACGCATAAAAATAATCATTCTGCCCTATGACAGACACAGTATAAACTGGACTACTTTTCTTTTTGTTCACTGTTACTAAAATATTTTCCTAACTGCCAGTGTCAACCAAACACCCCAATAATGTGTTACTTACGAATGGTGGAACCATTCATGGATCTCTTGTTCCTTCCTTCATTTTAAACAGATTTATATTTTGCCAATGAAATTTATTATCAAATTAAAGTTTCATAGATTTTCAGTGACTCTAAAAAACTTTTATAGAGAAAATAACATCAACAAATATCGTTATAAGAAATAGTTTTGTAACCCTATCTCTACTAACTAATGAACTGAGATTCCCTTACAAAGTAGTCTCAAAGCTAATTGATAGTGAAATAACAGTTTTGAGTGATATTTTATTAGAAGATATGGTAAGATTTGAAAATAAAAATTAAAAGCTGTATCTTACCATATCATGAAAAGTGATTAACGCCAACCTAGGTATTTTATTTTTAGATTGTAAATATGGAAAGATTACAAAGTTGAAAGTCGTAGAGGTGTGCATATACAACTAGGAGACAAGGTATTATATAATTTATTGTATGAAGTGGATAAAATTCTTCATCACTAAAGCTTGATTGACATCTGCTTTTAAACAACTAGCTCCTTATTAAAACATAAAAATTAACTTTTTAAAATTGACACAAAGATTTCCAACTAAACAAAACACTACATATTTTCTTGTAAAGATGAGAAAATTCTAATAAAAATTGTTCAATTTTCTTTTTTAAACAAGAGAATAATCATTCAAGATGGAAATAAAATGACTCAAAGGATAATTATACATTAAATTTAAAATATCAGTGTCAGGATTTTTTCACAATCACTACAAATTATTAATTTATTTTGCATTATATTAATTCTTAAAAACATGAAATGAAAATAAAGACTGGAAGTTTGTAATTGGACCTGGGAAACTATTAAGTTGGATCCAAGATACTTGTGAAAAACTCTGTGTCAAATTAAATAATAAAGAGCTTTAATATAATTTACTCTGATTATAAAACTAAATTGATAACTAGGAAACCACCCTGGATTTATTGCTCACTATATTGACCAACCTCAATAGACACAGTAAAATATAAAGCCTGGCAAAAATCTGACTTTATAGTTCTCTTCTGAATTTATGTAGAAATAGGAGAAAGAGAGAGAGAGAGAGAGAGAGAGAGAGAGTGTGTCCTGGACATCTAACACAGGCTTCTAAGCAGTGTGGGTGGTTGAATATGGAACCTTGCTACCAACTAGGGTTGAATCTCAGTGCACCCCACTTCAGGATGCTATGGGTATGGCTACAGGGTGTTGCTCTTTGTATGGAGGCTGTAAGAAATGGGCTAGTTGTCTAAAACGAAAATAAATAATAAATAAAATTAATGCTAACTTTACTTAAATGATATAGAATGATTAAAAATTAATGCCAAATTTTATAAAAGTCCTATTTTAAAGTACAAAAGTAATTTAATTAAATCATTTTTGCATTATTGAAATTTAATCTATGTTAACATATATGATGGCAGCAAACGTGTACAATGGTATATATGTTAATATTTGCCTCCTGTCCAACATGCACACATACATGCATATATGTGTGTATAAATATAATAAAATGCTTATAAATTATATTAAAATGTATCACATACAAGCACTTAACACAATTTAAATTAAATTTGCAAATCATTAGTTTTAAATCATTAAAAACTTGACAATACCATTATTTTTAATATTATTATTATTGATTCTACTGATATAAAATCAACCTAAATTGCTATTTACTCCCACCAATTAGGAAAGTATTATTCTGATTTTCATCAGTTTCGCAATTAGTATTTAATAGTTTCTTAACAGTGTGATGAATAACCATTGTATTTGTTTTAATTGGAGTACTTGAATGAGAAAATTAAGAAAAGTAATCATAAATTTCTTTCTCATGTAATTTGGGTTTAGATTCATGAGATTTATTCATCAAATCCTAGTTTCTCCATTAATCACATTTTAACAAGAGAATGCTTAATTATGTGATCACCCCTTCAGTGCCTTGGTATAAATATGCATATGTGCATGTTCACTACAGGGTTCATTACAGTATACATACTGAAAATTTAAGAGGAATATTGTAGGTATCTCAGTCAGAGAAGGAAGTTCAAAATTATTTGAAAACTTCTAATACAACAATGCCTTTTACCTGGTAAAGAATAACAAATCATTTAAACTGAAGTATATAAAAGCAGGAGTACTTTTAATTTGTTACATTGTAACAAATATTTATTTCAAGATTATAATAGATAACATATGTGTAATATATATTCCAACACTTACCACCCAACCTTATTTTTAAAGGGAGAATAATCAGCTAGTCATTGCTTGTCCATATTTCAAGCATGTATCATCTTATTGTTTTGAAACCTTCACTCATAAAACTGTCATTCAGCAAGAGAACAGCAATTAATTGAAAAGAGATGGCAACTCCATGTTAGCAAGCAGAGAGTATTTTTTATGAAAGCAGAGAAATCTTCCTTTGGGTGCATTAGTTTATAGAGTCACATTTTCCTCATTTACAGTGACAAAGTTTAATAAACTTTGTCTATGTTGAAGGCTGATTAGTAGAACTTTGATTTATTACTGGTAAAAAGTAATAATCCTAACAATGATTTAGAATTACTGCTTGAAATCAGCAGTGTGGAGAAGCTTTAAAAGCACAAGGGCAGTCTTGTGCATAACACTTACCAGTAAGTGTAAACTTTCCAATATTAATAACAAGCATTTTGCTACTATTAATACTGCTATATTCATGAGCTCTCCTTAAGGAATTGCTTTATTCATACCTCTAAAGTTATTTATGATTTATTATTATTAGTTAATACTTTAAGGTCATAATACCACTTCTTTGCACATAATTTAGTTTTTAAGATAAATAAAATATTATAAATGTTATATATTTTATACATATTAAAATGAAATGAAAATACTAGAAATATGAAATGTAAATATATTTATTTCATTTTTAATTGTTTTGGTGGATGTTTGTAAAATGTAAATTAATATCTGTGACAAACATTTGTCACTTCATTCCTTTAGTTCATTAATGTACTACTAATATAAATGTACCTTTTTTAATGAAGCATACTGGAAAATAAAGCAAATTCTTTTTACTAATTTTCTGTGTTTTCATTTATTTGAATTTGATTTCTAAACCATATGTATGTTTAAAATATGATCTTGAGAGATTTAAATACAATAAAAAGGAGAGGTATGACCTGTCTACCCTGGAGTGCAAACCTTTTGGAATGTAATCTGTTCTGGTTCATCAATATTTGTGATGCTTTGATATCTGATCTTTAAAAGGCCCCAAAGATTAGAGAAAGATGCTACTTGCAAAATTACTTAAGCAGGCTAAGAGTCACAACTTTTGGAAGCATGAGAACTTTGAAATCTTTATAATGGCCTCGTGAGTCTATATTGGGGGATTGGCAGAGAGGATATCATTACCTTGTCATTAGTAATTGAGAAATAGTTCATCACCCTGTGTCCTACAATACCACAATTGTCTTTCAGATAATCATTGTGTCACAAAGATGAGTGCTGATAGAAATAATTATAGAACAATCCTGATATTTATGTTATTCTTGTTACTAAATTTTTACTTTTTACTTTAGCTCAGTTTTGTTTCAGCTTTTGGTTTGGAAAAAAATTCCATTTAATAAAAAGTGAATGTTCATCATGGGTAATTTAAATACTTAAAAAGAACACAAAGAAAAATTAAGAGATACATTAAATTTCACCACCAACTAATTTAACACAACTCATTTTGACAAATATTATATTGTACATGTATTTGTTTATATAAATATAAGTAGATGAATTTAAAGCTTTTATAAAAGCCCTTGAGTTGGGGAAGTACCTCAGCAGAAGAGTGATTGTCTAGCATGCACAGGCCCTGTGTTCGATCTCCAACACAACAAAAATAAGAATAAATAAATAAAAATAAAACACTCCAATAGAAATATAATATAGAATAAATATTTGAAGGAAGTATATTGACAAGTTTAGTAAAATTCAGGTATCATTGAAATTGAGTGAGGAGTATGAAAGACTTGATCCACAGAATGTATACCATTGGAAAGATAATTGAGTGCTAACAAAAGGCAGAATTATCCATATTTTTTTAAAATACAGAATGCATTATTTATATAAACACACAGAAACTATAAAGCACTAAGAAATTTAAATATCCATGTCATAACAAGCAGGTGGCATTCACCGTCCAGGACGGAAAGAATGCTTGGAGGAGGGAGAATGCAGCAGATCAGCTCCCCACGGGGAGGGCATCTTCAGGGGTGAAGGGGGCCCAGCTGGGGCAGCCTCTCCAGCCCTCTCTCCTCCTCGAGCACCGTGAGAGGCACTCCGCTCAAGGGCGGCTGTGCGATCTGGTCTTGCTCCGGCAGACAGACGCTCTCGAAATCTAGAGGACTGAAGGGAAAGAATTTCTCAATTTCTGGAAAGGTGTCGTCAGAGGCAGGAACAGAGCTTTGCACTTTGATGGTCTTCTCAGTCCTCTTTTTGGCAGAGAGGTTTGGGTTTTGTTTGAGGGGTCCATTGCTCTTTACTGATTTTTCCGTAGCTCTGTTGACAGTTCCCAAAGCCTTTCTGGCAGTTTTTGGTAAGGCTGGCGGAGCATTGAACAGTTTGCCAACTTGCGACATTGAAACCCGAGATCTCCCATCTAAGGCTTTGACTGCAGCCCCAGACTCCAGCTTCAGCCCATCCTTAGGGGCCACAGGGGCGACTGGTTCTCCGTTTTCCTTATCGACAAAGATCAGAGTAGCCATCCTGTACCAAGACGCAGCCAACAGTGACGCCACACTAGCGGTTTAAACCACAACTAATGATACAATTGGCTTCTTCTGGGAGGCGGAGTCTGAGAGAAGGACCAATGAGGGGGAGCAAAGCCATCAGGGCCCGCCCACAGGTCTTTCCCTGAAAGTTTGTGACTCACCGCACAAAGTAAATAACTAGGCAGGCACAACTTTAATCTCCAACGCTGGAGCGATCCATATATTTTTTAAAGGTCATTGGTTATGTTCTCAAGTATGTTTTATAATTTTAAGTTAAATGTTATACAAAAAAATCATTCATTTCACAATGTCAGTCTGTGCATTTTGCTAAATGAAAATGATTGTATGCCACTAACAAGTTTAAGGTACAACAATTTAGTTACACCAATAAATAACCCAGTGTTCCTCTGTAACCAACACGGTCCCTTCTATCAACCCTTGCCAATAACTGATCTGCTTTTTGTCTCACTAGCTTCCTCTTTTCAAATTTAATTGGTGAAATATATCACTTTTGGAGGTTGGCTTCTTTTATTTAGTGGAAGGCCTTTGAGGTCCATCCATTCTCTTTGTACATCAGTAGTCTGTCCCACTTTGATTGTACTGCATATGGCCACGCTTTCCCTGACTGAAGGATGCTTGAGGGCTTCCGATTTTGGATGACTACAATAATGTCACCATTAACCTTAACATATAGGCTCTTTTGTGAACATAAATTTTCATTTTCAACACTAAATTCCTAGGAATGGGATTGCTATGTTTTGTCATACATGTTTTAAGGTAAATGCATATGATAGAAACATAATAGCTACTTTGTAAAGTAGCTGTACCATTTTACTTTCTCACAACGCTCTTGCTGCAAAATGTGAGAGTGTGAGTCACCTCAGATCTCAGTCACCACCTGGTTTTGCCATTGTTCTTAATGTTGGAATAATTGTGTGGATACAGATATCCTACCGCAGGTTAAACTCACGGCTCTCTAATGACCCATAAATTGGAACCTCTTCTCTATGCTTATGTGTCATATGTTTTTTAGTGAAATGTATCTTCAAATAAATATCATATACTTTTGAGTTATAAAGAAATTTCCTAAGTCCTTTATAAAAGAGACAGTTTTTAAATATTTTCTGCCAGTATTAACCTTATTGTTTCAGTCCCTTAAAAGCATCTTTCAAGGGCCGCAGATTTAGCTCAGTAGCTCCGGCGCCTGCCTTGCAAGCGGAAGGATCTGAGTTCCGTCCCCGGTACCAAAAAAAACCAAACCAAAACAAAAAAAGCATCTTTCAAGCTGGTCTTAAGTTGACACTGTATATATAACCCATAGTTTTTCTTTGTTGATCCTTTCTTGACAGCAAACAACATTTTTTATGTTATAAATCTTTTCTCAACCACAGAGCACAAAGATATTCTTTTATATTCATTTCTAGAAATTTCATAATTTTAGGCTATAGTTTCTACATACAGGTTTGTTAGCAACTTTAATTTTATAAAGAGTGAAATGTTTAGTTTTTTTTAAATAGATATCTAATTGTACCCCCAACATTTGTTAGAACTGTCTTACTATTGAATTGCCTTTGTATCTTTGTCAAAAATTTAGTGGACTATATATATGTGGATTTATATTTCTACTATCTTTTCTGTTAATCTGTATGTCTAAGTTTTCTCAAATGCTCTATTCTGTCCAAGAAATGTTATTGTTACTCCTAATATTAGTCCTCTATTTTTTATCTCATTTTCAAAATCATTTTGATTATTTTAGTTTCTTTCATTTTCAATATAAACTTTATAATCAGCTGACCAAATTCAAAAAATATTTATTTGATCTTAAATTATAATTATGTGGATGTACAGATAAGTGTAGAGAGATTTGACATCTTAATAATCCTAAGTGTTCCGATCCATGAACACAGCATATTTCCCACCCTTATTTAGGTCTTGTCTCATTGCTTTCACCTGTGTTTTGAGTTTTTATTCTATAAATGTGCACATATTCTGTTAGATTCTGTGTAATCTGTGCTAGTCTAGATAGTAATTTTTGCAGTTCATTTGATAATGGTTCTTCGTTTATATATAAAATATGGTTTATTGTGTATCTTGAAACCTGGGTAAAGTCATTTATTAATTTTAATTCCCTTTTTGTATATTCTTTTTAAATATTCTGTATAGACAATCATGTCATATTCAATGGAGTCTAATTGCCTCTCTTCTTTGCTAGTCTGTTTTAATTGTATCTTCCTCCACATTGCAAAAGTTCCAAGCTGCAGTTTCACATTAAAGAGCATTGTTCAAAGTAAACATCCTTGCCTTAATTTTATCTGTTACTATTAAGTAATTGTTAGCCACGAGTTTTTGGTAAATCACCTTAAGCAGATTAAGCAACTTCCCCTTTATTCCCTATTTGTGAGGATGAATAGATAATGAATGTCAACACAGGCTGTTTCTGCATTGTTCAAAGGATTATATGACTTGCATTAGATTATACTCTGTTTCCAATATTGAGCCATCCTTGTGCACTGCTGGGGTAAGTGCATTTGGTCATAATATATTACGTACTTTATATATTTTTATTCAACATGGTTTATTCCCTCCAAATTATTTTGTGATCACTTCTCCTAAGAAAGCCTTATTGTTTTTTCTTCCAAAAGAATGAAAATTCTGTTCCCTTTCAGTGTGCCTACAAATATTCTATAAATACCTTCATCTGGAGTCCACTTGTCTTTCATCATGGGCAGCTCCAAGCAGCTTTAGAGTTTTCTAGGCATGAGATATAAAGTGTTCCTTAAGCCCCATACATTCTAAAGGTCAACTATCAATCAAACATTTTGTTGATTTTCTGAAGCCCCTCTGTCTCACTTTTTAAGTAGAAACATTCAACTGAAATGCTAAGCAGGGAAAGAGAACTAACATAAAAATCATATAATTAAAACTTCCATTACATTGGAAATGAAATGTGGAGAAATGTAGAGAGAAGAAAGAAAACTGTTTCCATTTAAGTAAAATGCCACAATATAAATCTCCTTGGATTCAAGGGAATGCAAGAGTTGACTTTTGAATAAATGTAAGTTTTTTACTTATTTGGGTAAATACTTATTGAGTACAATTGCTGGGCATCAGTAGGTGTGGGATGAGGTTATTATTTGCTTGCTTTGTTTGTGGTGCTGGGGATTTGCACTAGCTAAATCCCCAGATCTTTTTTTTTTCTTTCTCTCTCTCTTTTGAGACATCATCTTGCTAAGTCACTGAGTTGCCCAGGTTGGGCTCGAACATGGGCTCCTGTCTCAATCTTTAGGAGTATGGGATTACAGATGTGCATTAACTCATCTGGCAGGGGTGTGTTAAATTTTATAAGAAACTGCAAAACTGTTGTTTAAAATGGCTATGCCATTTCCTACTCCTATCAGCAATGAATGTTAGTTCTTTTTGCTCTGTTTCTTTACCAGCAAGTTATATTGTCAGCATTCTAAGTTTTACCCTTTCTTATAAAGTGTAGAGGGCTCTCATTGCTGTTCAATATCCACTTCCTTGATTTATTTATTTTTAAGAATTTTGACAGGTACTTAACATAAAGAAAAAACAAAGATGGAAAAATGAGATATATTGAGACTATAAGTAATTAAAGAGAAGTAACAACTAACAAGGACAAAGGAGAGCTAACAACTCTTCAAAGTTACTGTACACCAGGATTTATAGTAAATATACAGCTTAAAAGGATAAGTTTACATAAAAATATACTTCTACCTGGGAGTCTTTTGATAAAATACAAAACTGGAAAACAATATTATCTATATACTATGGAAATAACTTACTCTGTGATAAGGAATTTGAAGTTTTCTCTTTTGACTATTGAAAAATATAAATATATCTTAACCAAGAAAAGTTCATGAGTGGTTTTTATTTTCAGGCTTATTTTTATCAGCAATATTGAGACCAACACTAGAAGCAAAGAGGAAAGCTTACATTTGAAAACTGGCAGAAAAAAATCAGCCGTCTAGAATGGTTAAATTCTCAAGGGAACTAATATGATAAGCCTGAGAATTATATAGAAAAAATAAAGAGAAATAATCCAGGATAATAGTTTGTAGACCAATTAGAAATAAATAGCAAATGAGATTCTGGAGAAATATATTTTCTTAAATGTTTTGTATATATGAAGAATCTAAGCTACATAACTTGAAATTATAATTATCAACAGGTTGCATTTCCGAGTAAGGATGCATGATCATAATTGATATTTTTTGTGTACATATTCAATGTTATATAATACACTATACACAGGAATACCTTATTAATTTCCAAAAGGTTAATAAGAAAAACAAGAGGAACTGACCTACAGCAAAATAAAAGAAATGCTTCATGAGTGAAAGATATCTGCTGTGTTGGTCAAATAGTATATGTAAGGAATAAATAGCCCTTTCAAAAATCAACACTCTTCTCAGTGTAGAAAGCCATCTCAACCAGAACACTGGGCTGAGGTGTAACTCAGTGGTACAGTGTTTGTCTAGTATACTCAAGGCCCTGAATTTAATTCCCAGGACTATAAAAAAGGTGTTTTATTTAACAATAGAAGAACAAATGTAATGATGGAAGTGTTAAATTTATCAGAACTTTTATAATGATGTATCATTATATTAATTATATGATGACACAAAGAGTTCTGTCTTTGAAGTACTATGGTTTTTCAAGGTGTAACTTAACAAATAGATTGGGTGGGAAAATGAGGTGTTATTGGAGCAAAGAATTACCTCAAGTGGTTCATACTATAGTACAGAAGGGTGAAAATATTATCAAAAGGTGAAAGCTTGTTTTAAATATTTGAATCTTATTCTTTATTTCTTTATATTGTTCATTTATTCTTCATTTTATAATTTCATAATCAAATCATTCCCTTGAGATTTCAAGATACATCCAAGTAATTAACACCTTGAAAATATTTACACTCATATAATAGGGTTTAATTACCAAAAAATGAATACTCATTTGCATTGTTAAAGAAAACTTTTATACATGAGTGAATC